TATATATATATATATATATATATATATATATATATATATATATATATATATATATATATATTCTTACCCTATACTTAATTTATTTTATTTTACTAATTTTATAATTTTTTTAAAATAAATTTTAAAATATATATTTAAATTGAGCGGTAAATTCTAATTAAATGTTGGTAAATTCTAATTAAATGTTTGATAATTAATTGATAACATCTTTTTTATTAAAAATTTAAATAACTTAGTAAATTCATACCTCTTAATTTTAATAAATAAAAAATTAATTTTAAAGGATTAAATTTAAAATTTATTAAAATTACGAGACTAAATTTAAATATTTAAATGTAGAAGAACTAAAATGAAATTAAGCCCACAAATATTTATTATTTTTATTTTTGAAGTAAATGGTGGTGGTATTTATTTATTTATTATTTAACGTTAAAAATATTAATATTACTCGTTATTTTTAATTTAAATGTGCTTTTAACCTCTTGAACAGTTAAAAATAGGTGTCGTAATAAAGGTAGATTGTTTTATTTTTTTACGTTTGTATTATAATTTTTTCCTAAACAATATTAGTTTTTACCGTATTTTCTTATTCAATATTTACTAAGGTACGGTTCTAAGCCTCGAAAATCGAGTTCATTACATCTTCATTTCCAAGTAGCTAACCAGATTTACATTAATTGATATTCATAATACAGTATTTTTCAATGATTCATGTATTTTATCTTTTCGAGTTACCGTTTATAATACAGTACTTTCAATGATTCACATCATTTGTCTTTACATGTTAGTGAGACCTTTACAGCGAAACATACATTTAATTTATAGGGTTTAAAGAAGATCTTAAAGGTATGCATATCATAATTACAGTAAGACTTCTTTGGTAAGTAATTAAAATTATATTTTGTGTTCTTAAATTTGGTAGGAAATCTTTTTTTTTTTTTAATCGTCCAAGCTATCACTAATAGATATTGTCCGGTTTGATCCATTATGTATCGCCGTCAGACTCACAGTTTTAAAACGTGTCTACTAGAAAGTAGTTTTTCACACATTTATAAGAAATGTTTTGTTCGTCTCTCCAATAAGATCTCACACTTTAAAAAAAAATGTTTTCAAATCAGTAAAAATGCAATTTATTTTGTTAAATTAAAATATATAATTTTTTTTTTTTTTATAAATATATTATCAAACGCAGAACAATTTATTTAAATTGATATCCAATTTCGGAATTTGGTCCCAAATAAATATTTGAAAATATAAAATAAAATTTTATTTTTTTATAATATTTCTTTACGTGGATTGTTTAAATAAAAAAATGTTAAAAAATAAAAATTTGTATACAAAAGGTAATGATAAAAAAAAAATTATATATTTTAATGGTATTTAAAAGAAAATGTCTTATTAAATTAAAAAAATTATTAAGAAATAAAAAAAAAAAGATTTTGGAACGTTGGTTTGGGTGACTTTTTCTCGGGAAAGATAAGAACAAAAAGACTTAAATTACGTCCATTTTTTAAAATAATTAATTTACCTTATTTAAATATTATTAATTTGGTAGAAAAATCATTTTGGTGGATTAGAATTCCATGTAATGCATTTCATTATAATTACGACACTAGCCAATGAGAGCCTCACACGCGTTCATTGTCCAATCAAATGTTGACTTTCAATATTTTGACTAAATTCCATTCCCTGATCGAGTTCATTATCAAATATGATCTGAATAATCTCTCCGAGCTAGTTAACGGCAATTGACATATACTTCTTTTACAATCGTACATTCAAATTTACGCACAAAAAACATACTTCTCGACCAAAATATCAATTTCAAACGAACAATATATTATATATAGTAAGTAAGTACGTGTCTATATATATATATATATATATATATATTAGAAAATGCTAAATGTTTTTACCGTGGATGAAAAACGTTAGTGTCTCGTTAAAAAATACCTATAAATTTTCAAAACTTTCGTTAATATCCTCCAAACTAAAAAAAACCATTAGTATCTAGTTAAAAAAAATACTATTCACTTAAAAATAATCTTACTGTTACTCTATTAACGGGAATTTACCTCCCGTCATCTCCCTTTCTCAATCTATCATACTTTTCTCTATCTTTCTCGATACCATTTTGTTATTATTTTTTCGATTCTAAAGCTCTCTTCATTCGAGCATGCTCAAACGTAAATATAAGAACTATTTTGGTGCTAGCGATAAATATATATATATATTTTCAATTATAGTATTAATCTTGAAATTTCATGGGAGTTTTGAAATGAGATAATAATATTTTAATTTTATATTTTTACGTTCATAAATTAACGGTAACTTTTTTTGAATGTTTTTAAGCAGAGTAACTCTGAACCTTGTCGGCCAAAACGACATAATTTTGTCTCTGTCCGATGCATCCGACGTGTAAAAACTCTGACCGTCGGATGGATATGGACAAACTGACATGGTGAAATGGACCATGGGACCACGTGGCATTCACTTTTATTTTTCATTTAATATGAAAAATTAATAATAAAAATAAAACCCTCACACTATTCCGAAGAAGCTTCGAGAGGCGGCTTAGGGCTACACGTCTGAAATGTCCACGCCACGTGGCAATTGAGAAGTCTAGTCATCAAATTGAATTAAAACCACTAATCCAATTAGAATAAGGAAACGTGATTTTGTGTTGTTTGTAGGGATAAGAACAAAACTCCAATGAAAATTAAAAAAGGGGTTCGTAACGTAATCCAATACGTTCGAGAAAAAAATAGAATTCCCGAAACGTGTTCGAATCATATTGTCAGTTCAAGCATAGTTTAACGTATCATTAATTATCATTTCAAACGTCGACGATTCAATCTCTTACTACTTATCAAAAAAACGTGCTCAAATGGTTAGTTTGAGTATAGCTCAATAGATCATTAATTACCATTTCACAGGTTGATACGATAGCCTTCTACATGTTGTTACTTATAAAAAGAAACGTTTGTTGCCGACGATTCAATCTCCTACTCTGTAATTAGTGAGCTAAAAAAATGTTTTTTAAGGTATCGAAGGGAATTCTAACCATGTTTTTTTTTACGTGGGTTAAAAAAACTATTTAAAAACAATTAATTAAATTATCAAACATTAAAAAATTAAATCAATATCACATTAAATTAGTTTTCATTGTCGGTACGAACACAGCTCAACTCGAAAAAATTAATTTTTTTTTATACCAAACATAAAATGAGAGAGAAAATAATCTTATCCAAATTATCCAAATAAGCTAAAGGTGATAATTTTATGACCTAAAATGTCCCACGTATCCTTATCTATAAAGTTTCAAGCACCATTATTTCATGATAAATTGGAGTTAAAAGAAATTATTTATTTATTTTATTTTTTTAAAAAAAGCTGGTTTCTCCGTCACGTCATTGCTATATATGTAAAAATAAATTAAAAAGAAAATTAAAATCACATATGCTATATTATATATTTAATAATTAAAATCAATTATATATTTTTTTCTCCTTCACGTTTAAATTTGTTTAAAAAAGTTTTAAAATTTTGAAATAAACTAATAACAAATTCCATTTACAAGGTGGAACAAAATGCGAGTAGAACAAAACAGAACCCAAAATAAGTCAGAAGAGGAAAAAATCTGAAGGTTGGAATCTATGGGAGCTTTAACTACACGGGTTGAAGGTTGGAACAAAATGCGAGTAAAACAAAACAGAAGCCAAATCAAGCAGGAAAAGGAAAAGGAAAAGATCTGAAGGTTGGAATCTATGCCAGTAAAACTACAACTGTTAAAGGTTGGAACAAAATGGAGATAAAACAAAACACACGCCAAAATAAGCAGGAAGAGGAAAAAACTGTGAAGGAAAGGGGAATAGATACCGACCTTAATGCTAGATTCATGTAGAAGTCGAATAGATACTGACCTTAATGCTAGATTCATGTAGAAGGGGAATAGGTTGAGGTAAAACCCAACAAATTTCAAATCTGTCTCCTTAACCACTCGGACATATCGAAGTCAATAGATAAATTCATATAGAAATTCTACGCTATTGTGGTAAAAAGTGAGTAACGAAAAAACGTTGATGGTAGGGTTCAAACTTGTGTGGGTAAATTTCAAGTTTGTCTCTTTAACTACTCGAACATACCAACCTTAATGTTTTAATAAAATGTCAGAGTCAATAGATAGATTCACGTAGAAGTGGAATAGTTATTTAAATTTATTAACCGTTAGTGCATTCTAAGTTATTACAGTAAAAAAGGAGAATATAAAAAATGTTTTAATATTTTAGAGAAATGTCAACTTTAATATTTAGTGAAATGTCGACCCCTCGAACATATCGACCCTAATGTTCTAAAGAAATGTCGAATTCAACAGATTTCTAGTATATAGTTTTTATATTGTGACAATAGACGAGAAATTGAAAATTAAACATATTATCGCGAGAAATGTTCAAATTTGATGATCTTGACTTGTACGACCAGTGTCCAACGCCCAAAAAATGGTTGCAATTTAGAAACCTTAGTTGGGTTGTTCAAAGTATCCGTGAAAAAAACATAGTTACGGTCAATATTTTCCAACATTACTGTAACGCCCCAGATCCACCTCTAGCAGATATTGTTCTCTTTGGGCTTTCCCTTTCGGGCTTCCTCTCAAGGCTTTAAAACGCGTCCAGATCCACCGCTAGCAAATATTGTCCTCTTGTCCTCTTTGGGCTTTCCCTTTTCGGGCTTCCCCAGATCCACTGCTAGCAGATATTGTCCTCTTGCCCCAGATCCACCGCTAGCAGATATTGTCCTCTTTGGGTTTTCCCTTTCATTAACAGATATTGTTCTCTTTTGGGCTTTCCTTTTCACCGCTGGCAGATATTGTTCTCTTTGAGCTTTCCCTTTCGGGCTTCCCCTCAAGGCTTTAAAACGTGTCCAGATCTAGGACGGGTTCCCCTCAAGGCTTTAAAACGCGTCCAGATCCAGAACAGCTTCCCCTCAAGGCTTTAAAACGCTTCCAAATCCATGACAGCTTCCTCTCAAGGCTTTAAAACACATCCAGATCCAATACAGCTTCCCCTCAAGGCTTTAAAACGTGTCTACTAGGGAAAGGTTTCCACATCTTTAGGTGGTTTGTTCTCTTCCCCAACCAATGTGGGACATCACAATTGCCTTAAGGAATGTTCACCAAATACATGAAATGTAAAAGACCAAAATCCATCTCAACTTGATATATTTATAGAAAGTCTCTTCTTGAAAATATATTTATATTTATATTAAGTGGGATAGAGACCGGGACGAGAACATAATCTCGTTCCCAACCCTAATTATCGGAGAAATTTCTCTCCACTTCCTCCTCCATTCTCCGTCTAAATGGAAAATTCCCGCCTTGGTCAAATGGACATCTCTAACCACGATCCCGAGTCCTTTTGAGCGATGAGCATATGACTAAGGTAAAAGAGGATAAATTAGTCTCGGTTAAATGGGCATCTCTAATACAATCCCAAGTCCTTTTGAGCTACGAGCATATGAGTAGGGTAAAGAAAAATAAATTATTTGAAGAATCTATCACAATGTGACTGACCGTTTTGTATCTTTGGATATACGAGAAATGAACCATAAAAATAAATTTTATATCATAGGATTACTATGTTCCAAATCTTCATCAACCAATCATATAATATAGAGATTAAATTGATGATTCAAAGTTAAAAATGTTTCCAATTTAATTTGAGATGAAATTGATAATCTAACACGAGGCAAAATTTGGGATTTAGTTACCTAAGCTACTTGTGTCACTCGTTCATGGCGGAGTAATTCGGCATTTTCTCTTTGGACTTTCAGTTTCGTTCTTGACGGATCTTCAATCTGCTGGTTTTCCGGAACCTCGCTTCAATCCTGCCCTTCCTGTTCGACACTTCACCATGTCGCCGACTCCCGAGGAACCCAATAATTTGCAGAACGGAATCGAAATCGAACCACACATTTCGGTAGAATCAAATCAAATTGGTGAATCCAAATCAGAGCCGGAATCCACAGCAGATGTAGTTCCCACAGCTGAATTACAACAAGAACGCGAATTGGAATCAGTTAATGGAGTAGAAGACTTGGAGCCTCAATCGGAGCTGGTAATTCCCACAGCTGAATTACAACAAGAACGCGAATCGGAATCAGTCAATGGAGTAGCAGACTCGGAGCTTCAATCGGAGCTGGATTCTCCAAGGAAACAGTTATCGGAGTCCATCCAATTACAGGTAGCGACGGATGTTGCAGATCCGAGGTTTGAAGAGCCTAAAGGAACCTCGATCTCATCCAACGGCACTGAGAACTCGCAACCTGCGCTGCGTAAAGATGAAGGAAGCCGAACATTTACAATGAGAGAGTTGCTGAATGGATTGAAAGTTGAAGATGGTAACGACAGCCTTAACGAATCTGAAGGCGAGAAGCCGGAGGCGAACTCCGGTTACAGGTTTGCAATCTTGCTTTGATTACTTGGGGATACTGAATATGGCTGATTGGTGATTGAATGCTTGATAATAATGCAGTATAATCTTCAATTATTTGAAATTGAATGCTCAATGCTCAACCTGATTTTTTCATCAAGTGATTACTTCTGTTAGAGGGAGAGAGATGTTGCGACGGTTCTCTCAAGCTTGAATACCTATTTTTCTATTAAAAAATGTTATGGCCTTATGGGGTAGTTTCTTTCAAGGAAAACTATTTTAGGCATCAAAATCAAATGACTCCCATTTGAACAAGTCAATTTCTGAAAGTCAAAGTCGATCAAAAGTTTCCAACGAGCTCGCTTGTTGGCGCCTGCAAGATTTCTCTTGAGCCGACACTCCCAAACTGTCTAGAGCATTTGTTTTCCTTGAAGGGGTCCGTCTTTGTTTTTCTTGCTAGAAGGGTAAGATACACTGATGGCTTTGAACGATTGATTGCTGTGGGGAACTATTCATCGTATTTTGATGTTCTAAGGCTCCATTTGCTGTACTCTCCACCACCTGTCCCAATTTCTAATTTTGTTAGGAATGCCTGTCTAGGTTCTGAAATCAAATATAATGGCTTCTCTACTAGGCTTTTTGTCTTGCATGTTAGCAAACCCGAAGGACCCTATCCAATTCTATAGGACTGAACTCGTGTGTATAGTCTGGCTGTTCACATTCACCATTCAGTTCGCCCCATATATTTGTTAAATCTGAAAGTTGCTTCAAACTGACCCAATCCGACCCATGAATAGACTTATTTCTTTCCTGGAATACATTATCCTAAAACGTGATATGCTCCCATAAAACTTTTTTCTTATGGTTTGGATATATATTCTTTTAGTGGTGAGACAGGCATGATCCTCTGGTCTATTGAAATGAATGCTTTCCATAGGAAGTTCGGTTGGAAACAAGTTTTATTGTTGTTATTATTTTTGCTTTCGTTTTCCAACTCTGTCTCCGTCGCTCTCATATGTTGCTCAATATCTTGAAACTGGCTTTACCTTTAATTTCATTTCCTCTGTCGCTAAGAAATTGGATTCTGTGACTTCAAATTTTGGTGATTCCATTTGTACCCAGATAGGCCTTCATTTTATTTTTGGATAAGATAAAATAGGCTTTTATAAGGTGGTAGGAAACTGTAGTTTCGTTTCGATTTTAAAGATTTCTGATCAAATTGGATTATATGGCTAATTTTCCAATTGCACTTTGCCCATTAACCCCTTAGGTATTAACTTAACAAAAATCCCAATTAGGCTTTTGAGATTGTTCATTTTGGTAGGAAAGAGTTTTAATTTTGTTCTTGTTTCACGTACTTTGGATCAACCTTGAAATCGGTTTACTGCTCGATTCTTCTTAATTTCTACACTGAACGTGCTTGGTTTGACGAGGTACTTGGAACCTACCCTCTCTTGAGAATCCTAACTCAAGCCTAAAACCATCTAAACAATTCTTTGACTTCCTTCTTTCCCCCTCCGTCTACTCAAAACCAAATACCATAACTACCTCCCTAACTAATCACCAATATACCCTTAATATCTCAACAATACCTTAATAGCATTCCTATCGCAATCTTGGTTTCTTAACACCATCCTTTTCTCGCAATAATAGCGTATCTTTTACATTTTCTCTTTATTCCATCATCAGCCTGTAGCTTCACTTCTAGGTGCTCTATAACTCATTTTTGGTATGAATCAATACATTTATGGATACTCCTGTCCGTTTCATTTTGCAATCTAATCTATTTGTTTTTTTTTTCATTCTTTCCATTTGATTTTGGTGTGAATTTGAAAAGGCTCACTATTTTTAGTGGAGTGTTTAATTGCTATTCATAACAATAATGCTGTTATCAAATTTTGTCTCAATAGCTATATTCTTTCTTTACTTTTTTGCTTTGCTTTACTGTATGAATTTGCAGTCTTAATCAAGATAGTCCACATCAGCCTTATTCTGAACAGAGCAGAGCTGCCATGGAGTTGATCAACAGTGTTACAGGTGTTGATGAAGAGGGCCGTTCTCGCCAAAGGATTCTCACATTTGCTGCTAGGAGGTATCATCACTATACTTTTTGTACCTTGTAGTTGTCCATCAACTACATCTCTTAATACTTCTGGTGACCTAGACTTGAATTCCTATTGAAATAAGAGCCCAGTTGTACTTCCCCTTTTCTTCCAATAGGAGCTTGTGTTTAATTTCTAATTGTGTCATGGGATTTTCACTACAACCAAAAAAATAATAATAATAAATAAATAAATAAATAATAACTAAACTCTTGCATACATGATGGTTAGTAAAGAATACAATATATAATACCATATATATACATATTTATATCTATATTAATAATCATGGGTATTTTTATTACTTTTTATGCAAAACAGTAATGGATTAACTGATTTTTATAACATTTAGAGTTGAGAAACTTATTATAGAATATTTACATTCCAGTTAGGTGGCCACATAATAGCACCCAGCTTACCCTATTACCGTTTTCGAAAGGGGCATGCCTAAGTGCAAAGCACATATGGCATAGGTGAGATGAAAGGCAATCACCTCAAAATATCTTGGGATGTCTGCTTGGAGATAATTGTAGGAGGGTAGATCTCACTAGGGCTCGCATTTTTTCCCCTTGAATTGTGCTTAATGTTGGCAGGGTTATCAATAGACCTTTTGGAAAATATGAAAAGTTGAAAATAAAAGAAAGATCAAGTACTAATTTTTGCCTTTGTTCATGATAGTATTGATAAAGTCTATTGTATATTTATTTCTTATCAGGAACAGAGAATCCATTTCTTTCTTAAAAAATATTTGCACTCCTTCAGAAACTCTCTGTTTCTAAGCATCTATTTTCCATTTAAATATTGCAGGTATGCGAGTGCAATTGAGAGAAATGGTCAAGATTATGATGCTCTATACAATTGGGCTTTGGTCCTCCAGGTCTGAGACTTTATATATTTTATTTTGGAAACTGGTTTTTTTATTCCCTTCTATTTCTTGATCAATAAGGTTGGATGGCAGGGAGAGATTATTGACGAGTCATTAAAAGAATTTCAACTCAATTGAATTTATGTGTTTGAAAATATATCACAACTTAGCTGAGACCTTCCAGTACATAGTGTCAATATTTTATGTAACATGGATATAAAATGAAATGAAACATTTAGTTTTCTTCGCATAGAGAAGTAAAATTTCGTTATAACAATACACTACAAAATGTACTGATATTTCATTCTGTTATAAGCAATATCACAATAAACAAAATTAATCGGGTGTTGCAGGAGAGTGCAGACAATGTTAGTCCAGATTCCACTTCACCTTCTAAAGATGCGTTGCTTGAAGAGGCTTGTAAAAAGTACGATGAGGCTACCCGTCTTTGCCCAACACTTCATGATGTATGTAAAAGAAAAACCTTTTTACACTTATGTTACTCAGGATGCTGTTGCCAAAAATGTGACTGATCGAAAGAAAAAAGGAAAAGATCTACAAACTTTGTAGAGCGACTAATATTGAATCTGCCAGAAATGAACGTATTCAGATTAGTTATTTTGTTGTTCTTTTTTCAAGACTGATCAAAATGAGTTTTTCTTGGGCTCATTTTTCACATTAGTAATTATGTATTCTTGCTTAGGTTTTGATAAACCATGGCTCAAAGTAGGCCTTCTTTTATTCTTGATACTGGCAGAGTTAGAAAATATTTGTATGCATTTTTCACATGACCTGCAAAATTTATCGTTAGTGCTGTCTTAATGATTTTATGTATTTGGATTGCACCCCAGGCTTTTTATAATTGGGCTATTGCAATCTCTGATCGTGCCAAAATGCGTGGTCGTACAAAGGAGGCTGAAGAACTGTGGAAGCAGGTTTATACTTCCATCCCTTGTGGTTTTTTGTCATTACGTGTTTGGAAAAAAAAAAAAAAAAAAAAACTTCCACCCCTAACGTATGTATATCGTTTGTTATTCGGGAATGTCCATGACTGGAATGAATGGGCACCATCTTTTCTGGGTTATATATCAACACTTTTCTCCGGGAATCAAAAGGATTTAAAATTCGACTATTTACTGTGCTAATGTGATTGTGTGATTCAATGGACACTCTAGGCCTTCTCCATTTTGTGTTATTTTCTTTTTTTGGTGAAATGTTTTTTTTAGCGAATATTCTTTTGTTCCTTAATTTTATATCATCACTTTTATGACTTGGCGAAGGCATCAGTAGACTCCTTTATACGTTGAAAGTTCGGATCCCTGCTGAAACACTAAAAAGATTTTAAAACAAAAGGAATTTTCCTTTTCTTTCAAAATAATCATTTAGGCTGTCAATTGTTTAAAAGGTCTAATTATACTTCATTATCAACTCTGTGCTGAAAATTTTGAAACGTCGGTAAAACCAAAAATACAGGTGCTTCCTTTATATTAGAATGATGATGTTGGCGATAATGGAGGGACTGAATGGAACTTGTTAAAGTCCATCCTAAAAATTGTTCATACATAATCTGGACATGAACAACATATTTCAGACTAAAAAACTGTAGAAAAGAAAAATGAAAAAAGGAAAAAGAACTGCTTGTTTTCTGTACCTACTTTTTTGTTTCCACTTCTAATATTCTTATTGATCTAATTTACAGTAATCATTTTCTTCTTTTCTTCATCCCCCTCTTTTGTAATTTCATTCCTTCCAAAAAAGAAAAACCTCATTATTTACGAACTAATCATTCCAATATTCTATCTTTCAGGCTACCAAAAATTATGAAAAAGCTGTCCAACTCAACTGGAATAGTCCCCAGGTACATCTCAAGAAATTGCTAGAAAACCCCTTTGTGCTTTAATTTTTCTTTGGGACTTTCTTCTTCAATGTGTTCTTTTTTGTGAAATTGATTCTATTATAAGCCTCTATAACCTCAAATGAAGCGTTTGAATTTGCTTTTTGCTAATACCTTAAGGTTAACTCTTTTGGTCAATTTCAGGCACTAAATAATTGGGGGCTTGCTCTACAGGTACTTATGTTTTTCACATTAGATTGATCTTCGTTTTGAAAGAGTCTCATTTTCTCACCTCCACGGATGAAACCACAAATATTATGTGTACAAAATTTCTTTTTATAGAACATCATGATCCATTTCAGGAACTCAGTGCGATTGTGCCAGCACGAGAAAAGCAGACAATTGTAAAAACAGCTATCAGTAAGGTAACACTATTATTTGAAACATTTAAATACTAAATAATTGCAGCATTTTGCTTAAAACTTACGGTTCCATTCTATGCCTTGATTGCTTCTTCCATTGCAGTTCCGTGCTGCTATACAGTTGCAATTTGATTTTCATCGAGCAATCTACAACCTTGGTACTGTTCTGGTGAGTCTTTTACCTGCCGCATGTGAGGAAATTACATGACCTTACATCTGTTTAATGCGCCACATTTAGAATAAGTTCATCAACTTGTGTTGTAGCTATATTTAAGAGCTTCTTAAGTTCTGTGGAAGACTTAAGTCTTGATTACAGATCAGATAATATAAATTTGCTCAAATCTTAACTCATTTCTGGCATCTATAGTATGGACTAGCTGAGGACACATTGCGGACTGGTGGCACAGGAACTGTTAAGGATGTTTCCCCTAATGAGTTGTACAGCCAATCTGCAATTTATATTGCAGCTGCGCATGCTCTAAAACCAAGTTACTCTGTAAGCCCAGTCTTTTGTTTCGAATAATTTCCATGTTGTTGGGCCTGTTGTAATAACCGTTCTTCCATCTCTTCTTTTCTTAATATACAATTTTATTCTTCACATACAAGCTTCATTTAAAATTTTGATGTTTGTTTTTAATAGGTTTACAGCAGTGCCTTGCGGTTGGTTCGTTCAATGGTTAGTTCTTCTCAAATAATGTGCATCACCATTGTCCACGTCTTTTTTTCTATTATTTGTTCAATATAAACCAGTCAGTTATCTGTATTGTTTTTATGGTTTAGTTTAATATGCGTTGTCTTGGTCTTTTAATGGGAAGATGCGAAAGATCTGTACAAAGTTCATAAATAAATGAAGCTGTCAATTTCATAATTGATTCCATATTAAGCCTATAATGTGATCAACAGTTGGGGCATGCATGGTTTTAAGTTTCATGTTTTACTTTATCAATGAAGACTACTTTAACAGTTAAAATGCAGGGCATGATATGTCATGTTCAAGCATTTTACTATATTTTTGAAGTTTCCAAGAAATCTGTACCTTGTAAATTCGGACTCATCTTATATTCAGATGCACGTGTGCTTTTGAAATGACTTTTCAGTGAAATCCCTTGATCTGGAAATATATTTTGGTGCAATGAACTTAATGGAACTCGACTTTTTGACAGCTGCCGTTACCCTATCTAAAAGTTGGATACCTGACTGCACCTCCGGTGGGGAGACCATTTGCTCCTCACGGTGATTGGAAACGTTCACAATTTTTTCTAAATCATGATGTATTGCAAAAGGTACAATTTATTAATCTATTTTCTTCTTTTTATCAGTTAACCATGTAAGATAAGTGCTTTTATGTGATTTGGTTGAAACTGATATTAAACTACCCATGGCCCATCATCTTTCAGCTTAACATAGGCGGGGAACAAACACAAACATCCCCTACTCTTTTAGGAAGATCTGGAAGTACCTTGAATGGCGACAGGACAATGAAAGTAGAAATTCCAGATATTGTCTCTGTTTCAGCCTGTGCAGATCTAACTTTACCACCCGGTGCCGGGCTCTGCATCGACACAATCCATGGACAAATTTTCTTGGTGAGTATATTCTAGTGGCATTTGCATAAAAAATTTGATTGATAGTATAAAATTACAAAAGTGTGGAAAATCCCTAATGCATTGGAGTTACTGTTGTTGGGAGAGAGTCCTACATTGGCTAATTAAGAAAATGATCATGGGTTTATAAGTAAGGAATACATCTCCATTGGTATGAGGCCTTTTGAGGAAACCAAAAGCAAAGCCATGAGAGCTAGTACTTAAAGTGGACAATATCATACCATTGTAAAGACTCGTTATTCCTAACATGGTATCAGAGCAATGTCCTTAACTTAGTCATGTCAATAGAATCCTCAAATATCGAAGAAAGTAGTTGGGACCTCAAAAGTGTAGTCAAAAGTGACTCAAGTGTCGAACAAATAGTGTACTTTGTTCGAGGGCTCCAGAGAAAGGAGTCGAGATTCAATTAAGGAGAGGCTGTTCGAGGGCTCCATAGGCCTCAAGGGAGGCTCTATAGTGTAATTTGTTCGAGGAGAGGATTGTTGAGATTGTTGGAAGGGAGTCCCACGTTGGCTAAGGGAATGATCATGAGTCTATGAGTAAGGAATACATCTCCATTGGTTTGAGGCCTTTTGGAGAAACCAAAACAAAAGCCATGAGAGCTAATGCTCAAAGTGGACAATATCATACCAATGTGGAGATCCGTAGTTCCTAACAGATCATTCAACCCATCCGCTTTTACCAAATCTGAAAGATTATCATGTCTGATGTGTTCGTGTAACTACTATTAGAGTGGAGTGCACTGTTCACGTGGATATTCCCACAGTTACAGCTTTCATTGTACCACATCCTTTGTTTGAGGGACCACAATGCATGCACTAGTTTGTCCCGTAATTATCAACTTGTATGCACGATCACCTTGTTAATTCTGCAGGTTGCTGACTCGTGGGACGCGCTCGATGGATGGCTTGATGCAATTAGATTAGTTTACACGATCTATGCCCGAGGGAAGAACGAGGTTTTAGCTGGCATCATAGCAGGTTGATCATTACCAAGTACGCAAAAATGTTTCAGTGATATTATCTTGATGTCTATATGATGTTTATTCACATTAGATTGAGTACTCATTTCCATAGATTGAAACACAAAATTTTGGGTTGCTTTCCAGTGCTTAGAACATGTTTCTCTTGTCAGATCCCCTTTTCAGTGTATAATAATCTATGTACATGTCGCTTGTTAACAGCACGCACAAGTGGGTACCGTTTTGGACCCTTGAGGTATTTTCATTGTATTTTTATATATATTTGTGAATGTCTCGGTCAGCTTCGTGCACCTATTATGTTCGGTTGTCGAAGAAATTTATAAGATATTAAATCTTAGGTAGGAGGTCACCATGACTTGAACCCGTTCCATTCAGGTCAAAAAATTATTGTATTTGAAAGTTTAATGTTGGAAGATTGAGAAGTTAAAAAGAGAGACGTTTCTGATTGGTTGCATAGGAGGGCTTTGGTTTTGGGAGTACGCAGGCCATTTATTTCACTTCCCTAAATTCGAGCATATTTCAGCACATAAAGATATTGATTACCATATTAATGATTCGATCTTCTGTTCTGTTCTTACAATTATTGAACAATTATTAAATTTTTTAACAAAAATGTTGTACTTTATAAATATTTATTTTAATCGTGAAACTTTCAAATTTGTTTCATTTTGGTTCATCAACGTTGGACGTTTCTTTTTTAGTCCCTGTATTTTAGAAAACTAATCATTTTAAACTATATAGTTTTGAAAATTTTAAAATATTTAATTGGAGGTTTAAATTTTCGTACCTTACTTATCTTATGGGGATGTTATTAGGAAAAAAAGGACAAAAATAAATTAAACCTAAGAATAATCTCGAGATCTAAAATTTACATTTTAGAAGTGTTCACGAGCCAAAGAAAAAGAATAAACCTAAGAGGTTAGAGACGAAAGATGTAATGTAAAATGATATTTAAAATTCTAAAACCAAAAGAGTGAATATCGAAATAACCGATTTAAATATTACTTCGGTCCAAATACTTTTGATCTTTACTCATTTTGGTATCTGTACTTTAAAATGTAAACATAAATTTTTATCTATGCATCGAAACCCGCAAGTACAAATTTATGACTACGTTTTAAGAAATTAGTAAACGAAGTGGAGTGCTTAACTAAAACTCCAACGCTCCTCTTGCCAAGTCACTTTCAAACACGTTTTCGATACCGACATCCATTGATTTTGCAACTTCTAATATCTCGAGCGGTAAACGAAAGGGCATACTAGACCCAGAGCTTAAGACTCTATAAGAGATATTACAAAATACAGAAATCAAAATGAACCAAATAAGAAAATATAGAAACCAAACCTAAAACAACCTTAAAAGTTGTCTAAAATGATATTACGAACAAAATTTGAAAGTATAGGGACCAAAAGGATGTTGTTTAAAGGACAGATATAAAAATGAAAATTTTAAAACAATAGAAACTAAAATGAACGCTAAAAGTAAAAAATAATATTTAAACGGACTTAATAAAGGGTTATAGTTCAAAACGTCATTTATAAATTAATTTTAAATGACATATTTAGCTAAAAAGATCATACGTTTAAATTCCAATCGAAAACGCGAGAGGATTAGGATGAGAGGGGAATACTTCGGTTGGCAACACCAATGGGCCGGTTTGGTCCTTGGTGGGCCGGTTTGGTCGTTTGTGGGCCGTTGACACGTCATCACCCTTTAACTCTCTCTATTTGCATCTTCACCCCCAAATCCTCTTCCCCTTTCTCTCTCTACCCCTTCAATGGCGGTCAACGACCTGATACTTTAGCAGTACACCTCGTGACACCTTATTCTCACTGATATTCCACTGTACAGTGGTTTTCCGATCGAAGTTTTTTGTGGTTGTCAAGTTTTCGTTTGGTTATGGGCAGTATGGGGGGAAGGCAAAGAACTTACAGCGCCAATTCGACTGATTATAAGCTTCTTGAAGAGATTGGTTATGGTGCTAGTGCCACTGTTTTTAGAGCGATCTATACTCCGTCTAATGAAGTTGTCGCCATCAAATGTTTGGATCTTGATCGCTGCAATAGTAATTTTGTGAGTTTTCTCTCTTGTTTTATTGCTCCTTCTGTTGTTTCTGCTCTGAATTGTTGTTAATTAGCTCAATTTTGTGTTTCTGTAATTGCTTAATTGACCTTCCGGCTTTGTTTGTTTAAGATCGGGTTTGAGTTGTTATTGATTTGGATAGTTTGTGTTCATGTGGGGGTGAAGAGGTGCTTGCTGATTTGCTTAACGCCATGATAATTTGGTACCTTTTACTACATATGTTTTCTTTCATCCTTTTGTGATGTAGGATTTGTTAAATTTCTGTAGTTTTGATCTTTTATATTTGTTGGTGAAATTTCGGGGGATATGAGTATAATTGTACACGACAACTTTCGTGGTTTCTCGTGAGGTTAGTTTATGTATATAAACTGAAGTGACTTCAGTTTGACTGTTTCCCTGTTCCATTATTCTTGCGATTGATTCACGCTACACCGGCAAGCAAGGAACAGGGGCCTAGTTTTTTACTTTCACAAATATTTAACTAGAAATTTGTAATACTTTTCTAATCGGAAAATTTGAGCCTTTGAGCTACACGGATATGAATATTACTGAGGAAAATGGATGCTGTGAATGTGGGATATAAATTACGTCAAGAAAAGTTCAGGATGAGCAATATTTTCATTTTCTATTAGGAGTTTCAAGAATGGAGTGACTTTAGCACGGGGTCGGGGTTGAGTTATTCTGAAGGCTGCAAGAAATGTTAGATAGTAGAAACCTAGTCGATATGTTTTGTCAATACCATATTAAATAGAACAAACCAACTTCCCTATGGAGTGGCTTCTATATTTTCCGCTATCGTAAAACAACGACCGAAGTTACGAAAATTTCCCCCTAGCTTCTCTAACTTTTTTGATAAGGTAGTATTGTTGGTACATAAGAAAAAGGACGGGAAATGAGCTCATATCATCTGCCTGGAACCCAGATATAATCAACAACCTTCCAAAGTTTCTCCCAAAGTGAAGACAATAGAGTGAGTAATTCACTGAAAGTAGGTCTTGGTTTCCATCTCTTGATTGTGAAGTACTTTTTGAAGTGATAATGGTAAAGATATGCAGGGTCCCCTTTTTATATCATCATCGGTAGCTACGAGAGGTTTGTTACATACACTCCAGCCCCTGTCTCTATATGTGCATGCGTGCATGCCTATAGGAAGCTAAAAAGAGTTCTACAAAAAACAATTACAAGAAGTGATGGATTACCAATCCAGTTCACAAACAAAAAAATTTATGAAAACCACACTTGGCCGAAGATGGCCCCTTAAAGTTTTTATCACTCACGATGATAATCATATCGGGCTCTTTGATAGCCACAAAGGCATTTTGTTTTTAGATTCTGGTTTCTTGCGTGCAACATTATTTGGAACCAGTGGATTATTATATTGTGGTTTCTTAATGTAATTTATTGGTGTTTCTCATATTTTTTCCGTACCCTTTTCAGATTTCGTTCTCAACCCTCTTTGTTTTAGCTTTAAATGCTTACTCAGAGTCCGATTTTGACAGGATGATATACGTAGGGAGGCTCAAACAATGAGTTTGATAGATCATCCTAACATTGTAAGGGCTTATTGTTCATTTGTTGTTGAACGAGACCTTTGGGTTGTCATGCCATTCATGGCAGAGGGTTCTTGTTTGCACCTAATGAAGACAGCGTACTCAGATGGCTTTGAAGAGGTTGCTATTTGTTCTATCCTGAAAGAGACTCTTAAAGCTTTGGAGTACCTTCATCGCCAGGGACACATACATCGGGATGTGAAGGTCTATTAACTCCATTCACATTAATTCTTGGTTTTGTTCCCTTCCCGCTTCAAGCTTAACCATATAATGAGAAGGCTATTATTTTATCATCTTTTAATATGTCTGTTTGCAGGCTGGAAATATACTACTTGATAGTAATGGGGCTGTGAAGCTTGCTGATTTTGGTGTTTCAGCTTGCATGTTTGAAACAGGCGATAGACAGCGCGCCAGAAATACCTTCACGGGAACCCCATGCTGGTAAGATTTATTTTTTGGGCGAATACTTTTAACCTTCTCATGTTTTATTATCACCAAGTATTCACCAACAATTCACACTCGACCAATCTAACTTTTTTCTTAGGATGGCGCCGGAGGTATTTCAACCAGGAACGGGTTATGATTCCAAGTGAGTTTGTTTGATTTAGACTTCAGATTAAATATTATCATGCAATTAGTAGGGTTATTCTCACAATGATTCAATAGTTTTTTTTGTTTCATGTTGTTGAGGATATAGTATAGAGTTCTACATCCTTATATCTATATTAACCTTCTCCTATATGGCTTGTTTGGATCATGATTTTTTTTTTGGATGAGTATGAATATTAAATGTTTGGGACATTAATTATCTATGTTAAAATATTCAAGAGAATTAATATTTGGGAATTAAATATTGTACTTTTTTTATAACGTTTGTTCACGAGAATTTTATTTATTTAATGAATTAATTAAATGTAAGAGAATAAATTAATGAAATCAGAAGTTTCAAATTACTATATTTTAATTAATTAAAATAAAAAATAATTTTATATTAAAATATTAACTACAAGTTATCCAAAAATTAAATGATTTAATTTAATCTGTAAAGATAATTAAATAAACATAAATGAATTGAAGTATTAATAAATATAAAATATTAGAAAATATTACTTATAAATGTATTAGTTAAAATTTGTTAAGTCTAAATAATATATTGATATTAATTAAAAATAATTAGTAATGGTTAACTAATTAGGTTATGTTTTAACTGTTCATCTCCTATGCATAAAAGTCTCACTAATATGAAGGGTATTAGAAAACTCAGGTTGGATGGATTTTGAAGTTCCGAAAGTCACTTCCTGAGTTTTAAAAATTGAAAATTGGTAAATCAAACAAGTATGTATATTCAATGTTTATTTTAAAATCCATGAAATGAACAGACTGATAGGAAATATAGAAACCCACACCAATCTAAAGCTTGAAATTTTGCTGAACCTATGACCTCTTCCCAGCTCACACTTCTTCCTTCGAAAATCCTCCAATTTCTTTCTTCCCACATTTCCCAAATAAATTCATCTAGTGTATTTAGCGACCAAATCTGGGCCTCTCCTTTGAACCGTGGCTGCAGAACATATGCTCTATGCAGGTCTCTTAGGTGAACAGAACAAATGCTCTGTGTTTTCTTTG